ACACCCGGGAGGCGGAGCTCACCACGGGGGGCGGGGACACACGGGGCCCTGGTTTCTCCGCCCTAAGGGGGGACAGTGCACTTTAATAGCTTTTCGGTTTGTGAGATTTTTGCTTTTTCCACTTATGAATGGCCTTGTCCCTTTGCTGGCCTGCTGCTGCGAGGAAGTTTCTGGAGAAAGAAACAAAGGAAAGAAAGAAAGAGAGAAAAGAGAAAGAAAAGACAGATATTAGAAAGTGAGTGTACATCTTGCTGCACTGGCTTTGGATCCTCAATTCACAGTCCAAAGGCCATTTCTTCAGTCACATGGCCTTGTCTCACACACAGTGATAGCAGCCTTGTTTTTGAAGACAGTCTGCATTAAAAAGCTAAAGTCAGTGCAGACAGTAAAGGCATGGTATACTTTTCTAGGACAAGACGTTTACAGACTGTGCAAAATATTTATCTTGTCACAGAGCTGAACGGTCTGTTGAAGTTTCAGGGCTTTATTGGACAATGTTGCATGCCTTTTGACTTTTACTGTCAGCTGTTGACCAGGCTTAGTTTAAAAATCTCTTCCTTAGTGTTCAACACCGGGATTGTCACCCTGAGTGAGGAGTTACAGGAGCAAGAGAAGGGCATTTTAAAAAGCAGCAATCTGACTTGCCACTCACACAGCTGTGGAGAGGGGAGGAGGAAAGGACAAGCCTTCTTCTTCTTCTGCCCTCTGAGCTTTCTGCTTCCCTGCAACTCCCCTCTTGTAGACTTCCTGAGATCCCCTTTGCTTCAGTCAGCATTCTCAGACTGGCAATAAAGCTCACTGTACAGCTCTTGAATGTACCTTTTTTTTTCCCCCCCTCCATGGAGTTCTGGACAGTGCTAGCAAAGACCCTGGAATTCAAGCCAGTTTGTCTCCTGAGGGCTGTTGACAGGTGATGCAAAAATGAGTCTGAAAGTATCTATATTAACTTTTTGTGTTCTGGTCCCGCTCCTTGGCATCCAGATGTCAGTAAAAAAATTAAAGCCTCGTTGTAGAATTTTAGCTATGATACTAACTTTAGGCTTTGTAATTATAAGGTTGATAAAGGATACTGGGAAAGAAGAAAAGCAACCAGATGTGCAGAGGCATCCAATTATACAGGACGTGAGAAAGATAAGGAGAAACCGAGAGAAATTAATTAGCACAACTAAGTTATTTTAGAGGTTGTGTTGACATAGCTTCGAAGGTTACGTTCCCAGGATTGAAAGTAGACAAGAGTGATTTTGTTATTAAGAATTTTGAATTATTGTATCCAATCAGTAGCTGCCAGATCTGAAAGAGCTCTGTATAAAAGCACGTGCGCAACACACAATAAATGTCTTTCACTTTCATCCTAATTGGCTCGTCTGGGTGGTGTCCAAGAACTCCATGCGCTGACTGCTAAGGCCTCCTCGCGCTGACTACAGAGAACTCCGCTGGCCGGCTACACCTCCTTATTTAAAAAAATGTTTCAAGAGAGCAGTATGCAGAGTATATGCACACAGAGCCCCGATGGACTGACTGGAAGTAACCAGAAGGCTCTGAAATACGGTGCACTAAGAGAGGAACAGTTCTAACAGGGTCAAGCTACCCCAGGCTCCCAGGCATGAGCCCCCAGAACTGTTCTTTCTGGGGCAGTAGTGGCTGACCGCAGCAGCGAGATGTGGACCCTGTTCAGTCAATATCTGAAACACATACCCCTTGCCACCTGGTTCCTCTTGTTAAGAAACCTGAACACAAAATACTTTTTCCTGTTATGATCCTCACTGGGGTGAACAACAATGGTGTTACTGATGGATACGAGTAATAAAACTGGCAACATTTAAGGCCTGAGGAGAGGGGACTTGTGGTTAATGCCTTAAATCAGTGAAAACACTTCTTGGGGAAAAACACAGTGAGCCTACTACAAATGTTATTCTGTTGCACTGGTATGTTTACAAATGTAGATCCATAAAAAGGAATATATAACTATGTATAAACTATATTTGTTGTTATAAATTAGATATTACACTGTTATGTATATGTATATATGCATGTAGATATATGTATAATAAATTTATATATATATATACACAAAAGAAATACATGAGAACTCTTGGTAAAAGTTGGTTAGAAGGAAGTGAGGAAGGATAAATTTCTTCAAGCTGGAATACATGGCTGCAGTCACTCAATTAGGTTATACTAAAAAAAAAAATCAAGGAAGAAGGATATTCAATTTTTTATTAATTTCCTGTTACTCACTTTCTAAGCCAAAACTGATCAACAGTGTCAATACCACAGCAATTTGCTGTTACCTGTGTTACAAAAAAGCTCTGTCTGCCCAGTTCTGGAGAGGAAGCAGTCCTGGACTGCCTACATTATGTTGGATTAAGAATAATGATTTAGAGAGCTAGAAGCCTCCTTGAGTAGGGAACAACAGGATTTACAGATGTATGTTCAACACTGCAAGTAGAGCTTGCCTGTGCAAGATAAGTGGACCGTCTGTTTCAAAGACTGGTTTTAGTTAGACAAGATCTTTAGGATCAGATGTAAGAGCTACAATACCAGATATATCACATAGAAAATATTAAATATTATACAACTTTTTTGTCTCTAAAAGAATGAAAGTGATATAGTTCATCATCAAAAAGAATTGTGTTCCCCATACAAAGTAAATGCTTTTATTTCAGGTATGTTCTGGGGGGAAAAAACCAACATGAAGAATATGGTCTTTCAGTAGTAAGTATAATTTAGACTAAAAATTAAGAATTCAAAAGCATGTGTAAAGCTGTGTTTTCTAATACTAGGGAAAAAAACAGAATCATCTTGCAGTCATAAAAATTAGAGCAACAGCCTATGTCGCACATTACTGTTGCTCATCATTTTGTCCAGGTGCAGGACAACTGGCTTCATACTTTTTCTTCAAGCCTTTCAAATATATACGCAAACTGTCTGGATCCAATCGAGAATTTCTGGCAGTCTGAACCAATCTCATTGCTAAATGGTATACAGCTCTCTGTTTCATCATCTCAGGAGTGCTCTTCTGCCTCTGCTGTTCTTAAAAACATACACATCAATTAAAATATGACATCAATTACATTCTATTATTAAAATACTAATATTAGCTGTTTTCCAGCCTATTTATTTCTGATCTCTTGATTCTTGATTTGTACACCAACATTACATCCAATACTGTTTAACCCTAAGGAGTGCTTTGTGTTGTCACCTAACAGTGACCTTCAGTATTATCTTTTATAACTGGTTCCAGAAATACCAATTTTAATGAAATCTATTTTCATAAAACCGTAGGCACTGCTTATCTATATCCTTTCAGAAACTGAAAATCTATTTCAGTTTTATAAAAACTGTGAATTATAGTATTATAATTTTCTACTACATACCAAAATTTGTTTTGCAATATGATTTGTGATTTCCTTTGCATCCAAAATTATGGACGATGGTAGCGAAGAAACCTCTGCAGCTTTTATTCCTAAATGTATAAAACATAAATCAGGATTTTTGATGTAATTTTTTTTCCTACCTTCCACACTATGTCTGCCAGAATTAACTTAGCCTGTTTTTTAAAGGGTGAAGTTTTGGGGGTTTTTTTTTTGTTTGTTTGTTTTTGTGGTTTGTTGTTATTGTTTTTTGGGGTTTTGGGGTTTTTTGGGGGTTTGTTTTGTTTTGTTTTACTTTTTCCTTTGCCTGTGGCCCTGGCTGTTCGAGAAAATTCTGTGCTTCATCAGGTGCTTTAATACTGTAGGGTTGAAATGAAAAAGGGTCAAAAGCCCTTGCACTCTTTCTTAGAATGTGACTTTGCTCAAGTTAAGGTAAAGCCAAGACACCAACACTGAGTTACTAAAGGTCTCCTGTTCTCTGAGAATACTCTCTAAACATTTTTCTGAGCTAGCGGTGTCATAGCACCTGAAATTGAGCTTGTGCTCTAAGAAACTAATTCTGAAATACACATAAAGAAACATTTTAAGTCCAGTTTATTGAAGCTTGACTGGAATAATTTGTAGCCTTCAGTTACCACTAGCTTGCAAAAGTCACGTGTAGATAATTTCCTATTGATTAAATGTTACCTAAATCAAGGGTCCAACTTCAGAATCTAGCATTTGGAAACATACGGATTTTTGTAACTCTTTAAATATGTAGTTATGACTTATTGTCACTCCTTTACTGACCCGTAATCTGTCAATCTGTACAGCCTTCAGTATGATTTATTCTAAAGTCGAAAGAGAAGTAAACCCACTTTCCTGAGAACACTGATGCTGTCATGGAATGTCTCGAAACAGCCTCAGGCTGATACACAATAAAATTCATGTGCTTTTTTAAAGAAACTTGATTCCTTTTTGTTAATCCAAAAGGGCCAAGCTGCTGTTTAACTGATCTATCATGACTTATGGTAGACACATAAGAGTTTTACTTAACACAAACCTTGGCATGCACAGCTTTAAGTCTCTCCAGAACTTTCACTCAGATTAAATCAAGTCAAGTACCGTGCGCTCAGAATGGCTCATCTCATTCAGACAGCGGTGAATCGCTACTGACATTACTAAAATGTTTTTTCACTATGAAGTTTCATACAAGTTCTTCATACTACCCCAAACTACTGTCTCACTACATGGTTAGCTAAAGCACACGAGTATTTGGAATATATTACAGATCTGCAGTTGTTACTCTATGAGAGACATTCAAACTCAGCAGAAGTCAGCAGAAAAATACTGTTAGATGCCTAATAACTGAAACAGTATCTTATATCATCTTTCCTGAGTTACAGTCATAGTGGCATCTCTTACCGTAGTTCTTTTCCTCTGTATATCCTTTGGAGAGTGTGTAAGTGTAAGCAATTTTCTCCTTATTTCCAGCACTGCTTCTCACATGTTGCACTTCAAAATGGTAATTTTCCACATTGGGATATAAAGCATCTATATGACACAGTTCCAGGAAATGTGTAGCAAACAATGTAAATGCCTTATAAGGAAACAAGAGAGAAAAATTATTTTGGAAATTATCTTGGAATAAATTACAATAAATAATAAAAATTAAATGATCTCACAGATGTCCAGGTGTTCCTCCAAAACACTGAAAAGCTATCTTTAAAATACTAAAGTGAATTAAAATCTTTTAAGCGATGAGTTCTACCATTGGCAAGGATAATTCTTCCAACTGGGGATTCTCCCACTCCTTTCCCAAAAGAAGGAAAAGAACATCAGAAGTAACAGGAAATCCATGATGCTTGCAAAATTTGACGAGGGTGAATTTGAATGATTGTCAAATGGTTGCCTTAATACTCTCAAAGAACGTTTTGCCAAAAGCAGAAGCAACAGAAAAGATGTGAGCTTTTCAAACCAAACCACAAAAGTACCCTGAATCAACTCTGACAGAAAACTGAACACCTACACACTTCAAAAAGCTGACAACAACATGAGGTGAAACTTCCATCCCATCTAAAACCATCTTCCACTTTTCCAAACAGGCCTCTAACCTCTGACCAATTCATAAGTTGTACGGAACTACGGCTGTACTTGGGAAAGATAACAGCCAAAATCACCTTTAACATTCAAGCATAAACAGCTGTACTAAGCAAAACTGAAGAGGCTGGGTTATTCTCTTTCTAGACAGAAATGCAAGCTTGCAAGCAAGCTGGAAAGAGATGGCGACCAGCATACTGGTTTTGGCTGGGATAAAGTTAATTCTCTTCATAGTCGTTTGTATGGTGCTATGTTTTGGACACGTGACCAAAACAGTGTTGATAACACACCCACGTTTTAGCTGTTGCTGAGCAGACACGTTTTAGCTGTTGCTGAGCAGGGCTTGCACAGAGTCAAGGCTTTTTCTGCTTTTTACACCGCCCCACCTGTGAGCAGGCTGGGGGTGCACAAAAAGTTGTGAGGGGACACGGGACAGCTGGCCAAAGGGATATCCTCCCACACCATATGACGCAGCAATAAAAGCTGTGGAGAAAAAGGAGCAAGGAGGGACATTCAGAGTTACGGTATCTGTCTTCCCAAGTAACCATCGTGTCCCTGCTTTCCTGGAAATGGCCGAACACCTGCCTGCCGAAGGGAAGTAGTGAGTGAATTCCTTATTTTGCTTTGCTTGCATGCACAGCTTTGCTTTACCTATTAAACTGTCTTTATCTCACTCCACAAGTTTTTGCACTTTCACCCTTCCAATTCTTTCCCCCACCCCACTGTGCGGGAGTGAGTGAGCGGCTGTGTGGGGTTTAACTGTCTGCTGGGGTTAAACCACAACCACCAGTGAACTATCACCGTAATTCTTACTATTTACCGGTTTTGAAAAATATCATGTTTAGGCAAGAAATCTCTTCAAAACTGAAGTTACATTATAAGAAAAGACCGTATTTACTTTCAGTATGACAAAATAATTATAAGCTTTAAATTTTTTTCAAAACAGAATTACCTTTAAATTCAACAGATATTCACAGGCAGCAAAACAAATGCCAATACCTTCTTCAGCACTGGTGCCTCTGCCAAGTTCGTCAATTATGATGAGCGATTTATCATTAGCATTTTGTATGATATATGTTATCTAGGAAAATATTTAATGTGTTATCATTCCTATAAATGCATTTTTTAAAAACCCTAATAGGAATACTGCTGCTAATAGGAATACTTTGTGTTATTCAGAGGAAACTTAATGCAGAAATTTAATAAAATCTTCTCAGATCCACAAATTTTACCTTTTCACAGCTTTCAAATAGCTGACAGCTATAACCAAGCAAAGACTCATACAATAGCACTCTCTTTTCCATTAAACCTATCACTTTCCCTCAAAATCATATCAGTTTGTGAGAGGGAATTGAGACGGCTTAGGCTCCTACAAATAATCATTTAAGGTCTAAGAGCTAACAAAATGTTGAAACTACTGTCCAACAGAGCACTGATTTTCACTCATACTAGTATATCTTTTTATTTAAGATATGCCTGGTTTTCTGCAGTTTATCATCAAGGTAACAGATGAAAGCTGAATTTTTGGTTGCTTTTCCAAGTACACTCTTTCAGCAGAAATATACTAGTACAATTTTTATTAGCTTAACAGTAAAAATGGGCCTTGGACCCTGGATTAGCTATGTTTAATACCTCTTTCATTTCCTTCATGAATGTTGATGCATTTGTTTCTATATCATCATCCATACCTATTCTGGTGAAAATTTGCTCTGCGATTCGAAAAGAACAATACTCTGCGGGGACATAAGAACCTACAAAACAAGAAAAATATAAGTTTTCTCATATCAGTGTGAGAAATGCTGATTTGCCTGAATATGTCAGTGGGAGAAAAAAAATCAGTTTTACACTTGGTCTTTATGCACTGTAGAGAATGCATCTTATTCTATAAAGTTTCATAAGATTATGTTCTACCATTACTTTAGAAGAAAAAATATTATATAGATACCATAATTAGAGAAGCTTATCAGTAAAACCTTAAGTGATCATATGCCTGAAGCTGTGTGTCTAAAGGGATGCAAAAGTGAGAATAAACACTAGGATTAATTTACACTTTTGTAGTCACCGAGTTACTAATTCCAAGGAACCTTAGTTTCCCAAAAACATCATATTGCCTTTATCAGACTTTGAGGCTTATTAGTTTTATTGAAAAGAACAGGAAACCTCTCAAGAGACTTTACCGTCTCCTTTTTATTCAAATTAAACTCATGTTTTTGACAGCAGTTCCTGAAGAACTTGCAGTTTTTGGAGACTGGACCCACAAACACATAGTGGACAGATTTTATTCTCCACTGCTAAGCAGTTTCATTCTAGTAGAGCTGGGGTCAGCCTATTAGGTCTTTCTCCCGTGCTACCAGCCTTACCTTTAAGGTGAAAAACATGAAGAATTCCTGAGTATAGAGATGAGCCTCAGTTAGACTTTGCAAATACTTGGTTTAGTTTTACAATTTTAGTGACAGAAGCGTGCCGTATTTATTACTACTTTTATTTGAAGTAGTTGATTATTTATCTATTAATTCTACTTGGCTGCAAGCATGTTTCTCTACATCACTGAGGTATGCTCAGGTTCATCTATTCCTTTTGGATGATTAACACACACAAAGCCTCATGGGCATACTTCAAGGACACTCGCTATCGATCTAGCATACGGTGCTAGATCGGGTTAAGGTGCTCCAAAGAATTAAAGCACACAACTGTGCTTCTCCTAAAGACAGACTGGGAAGGCTTCCAGATACACAGACACGGCCCCATAAGTTTCCAGTGGCAGACCCAAAACCTTGCAGTGGCCTCTGTCAGCAGCACAAAAGCTGGCAGGAGCAAACAGACTAACAATTACCTGTTACTATTTAGATGGACTCTTATTCTAGAAGCCAAATCATTTAACTTCATAAATATTTTTAACTAAGAAACAATAAATGTGCTGCAGAAGATTACTGATACAGTACACTCTTACTCACCAATCTGTGCCATAATTTGACAGAGAGCAATCTGTTTTAGGTATGTTGATTTTCCACTCATATTTGGTCCTGTAATAATGACAAAGTTGTTACCCTCTGTCAGATATGTGTTGTTAGATACAGGTTTTTCCACAGCTATCTTTTCAAGAATGGGATGCCATCCCTGCTTGATCGCTAAAGTATCTGTAAATTCTGGACGAACTAAATGAGAAAAAGGATATAAAACATTGCAGAGTTAGTATGGAAATCTTTATATTATTAAACTAATGCATTTTGAAATAAAGTAATTCTTGCAGAGCAGAAGCCAAACTCTGTGGTCCCGATTCCCCAATTTTTACTCTCCTGTAATAAGCAAGACTAACATGCAGCACTTGGGAAGAACTACCAGCCATTTTCAGGTATAGATTCTGACTGTCATGCAGTTCTTCATAATATATTACTACAAAAAGAATCCCATAGCTAACAATTTCTAAATTAACATTCCGTGTTTAAGTTCCATAGTAAGCAAGGTTGGACTCCAGTAATAAAGAAAAATACAAAGAGTGAAACTTGAAAAGTAATTATAACAGAAAAACGGAAAGCCAGTTGCATAGCTAATATATTTTTAATTCTTTTTAAACTGCTATAAGCATATCAAGTACACAGGTCATGAACTCTGTTACTGCTATATATGACCTTATTATATAAGCATGAGAAAAAAGTAAGCATCATTCCTTCTATGTTTGTTATATTTTATCATATTGAATATCTAGGTGTATACTGTGCCTGCATAGATCCACTTGCTACTGGGACTATCGGTATGTATTTCTGTCAGAATACAGTCTTTACTGAACCTATTCTGTATGCCTCCTCTTTGTCTACCTTAATGGCAGTACTGGCTAACAAAGAAGCGGTGTTAAATCTGGTGGTCTGTTTAAACAGAGCAGCCTTCAAGAAAGAAGTGCCAAAACAGTTTTTCAGGTTTAAACACTGGGGAACCCTAGTCACCTGGTGTAGGTTTTAGTCATTTAATGACTTAGGTGAGAGAGTCAAGTGGCAAAGGGGACTGAAAGCTACAAATGACTGTCCATTTCTTTTGGTGGATACACATTCATGCCTGGCCATGCAAACTGCAGGTGTAGATGTATAGGACAACCTACGTGGCTTTGGTCTCATTACTGCTGAAGAAAACTTGTGCTCTGATTCATTTGTCAGGAAAAGACTGTGATGCCTCAAGCATAGCAGTTGCTGCTCAGTTACATATCAATTAATGTGCTACGACTGGAATCATCAGCACATGAAGATTCACAGTCCATACTGCAAAGCAAACTGATCCTGCTCATGAACTGGAATTACATAGCAGCATCAGTGATGATGAGCTAATATACCTGCTGAGATGGCTTCCAGACCTGATTTAGTATCTACACTGTATTGTACTGTAGGTAAATATCTCAGGTCAGCACTAATTGAAGACAATGTGCTCATTTGTATGTTGCAGAACTGGGCTAGGGAAGAAGGATGAACGATATGCAGGTAAGCACATGATCCTGGGTTCCTCAGAAGACTACTTCCAAAAATGTCTCGAAGTGCTACAAAAATTGAAGCAGGCAAACAAAGATAGCCACATATTTTCATTTATGGTATATACTTAATGTTGTTCTACTTATATTATCTCATGCCTTTGCAGAATAGAAGTGTAAACTCAGAATGTTCAGACTCGTGCTTTTGAATAGAATTGAAAAGACTGGCTATGAAGGCTTACAGTTGCTAACTGTCAGAATGTCATTTCAATTAATGGAAACACAAAGAAGATCAGCACAAAACTGGCAAGGATAGACCACAGACGCTCACCTAAAGAGACCCAGAAAAATAAATGACATGAGCTTAGCAATTGGAGAACCAGACAAAACAGCCTGGATGTTCTCCGACAGGAGGGTCTTTATCTGGCCCATGACAGAATCAAAGAACAAACTTACCATAATCAGAAAGAGTGCAGGCATGGGCAAACGAAAGCAGCATGTCCAGCATTGACACAGTGTCAGACAGCTTGTATAGGCAATGAATGTGTTCATAGATCTCGTTCAGTAGTTTACACACTATTCTGAAAAAAAGACACTGATTTAGTTGTTGCGCAGTACATATAAAATTTACAGAAATAAAGCACGTTAATAATGTTCATACTGCATACATTAGGATGGGAGGTTATTCATGAAGTGCAATCGTCTCTGCCAGATGCAAGCAAATGTATAAATTTCTTTGAAGCAAATTAAGATCCTATACCATCATATCAGATCAAATTCTGCTATCAAACACAAGACACATAGGTCAAATACCAACAGCTCAAAAGAAAGCTCCACAAAGAGAATCAACTAAAAATACATCTATGGAATCAAATGTGTTTTATTAACACGTCAAATGCGACTCTTATTCCCTTAGGTCTTCATGTTAATAAAGCCCCCACAGTTTCTAGAAATAATTTCCATAATTAACATGCAGCATTACACTTAGTAAGTCTTCTGAAATAGACAGCAGGGCAACATGACATGCAACAAGGACAAAACACAGAAACAGACAATTCTACTGTAAATGCAAGTAATGATTTTGCATTACAAAACATTCATTGTGTCATTTTGTGTAGATAATTCACCCATAAAGATTTAATAAATATGATGGCCACCCTTATTAATAAACGCCTGTGTATTTGTAATCACATTTAATACAATACACACTTTGTGGGGTTTTTTTGTCTCAGGAAGCACACTTGATCAGTGTCGCTTTGGATTATTTCTGTAAAAGTAGCCAAAACTTAACAGAAAAGTAGCGTTAAGAAAACCTGTAATTAGCTGTTAATTGGACAAAAAAAATGTAGTTAGTAAATATTAAATAGCTTTTAAAAGTCTTACAAATAGGTCATGTGATATATTTCTCTCAGGGACTCCTGACATCTTTCATTCATTTTTATTAAATCTGCTGAAGTGAAGCTATATGTGTTTTTCATTCTAGTGATCTACGGGGAATTCAAACAAACAATAAGAACTTGCCGTATTATCACAAACAAAAAGTTTCTAAAAAGCAAACTGGGAACAATATGGGGAAAAAAGGGCAGAAAAAACAATGCCTGATCTCATTTTTCCTATATAAACTCTTATGAAAAATCCATATAAGAGAATGCAGTTATCAGCAAGATATGCAACTTCATATTTACACGCAACATAATTGCATGTAATTGGACATTTCTGACTATGTTAAGTATATGTAGACACAGGGCAGTTATAAAAATTTACTTCTACATATCTTCACTGGAATTATTTTAATTGTTGCTTAAGTTACTGTATAATGTGTATTTTATTAAGGTATTATACCTTTTATATACATTAAGTATACATACATATTATGAAAAACATATCTAGTATAGATACCTTTGTAAATTCTGAAGGAAGTTGTCCATTGGGTAATGTTGAACTATCAACATTCATCTGGATAAAAAATCCACGAGCAGAGCTGAAACTTGTTTTCATTGGTAGGTTGTACTTTTCTGCAAGTTGTGTTATCATACCTACACACCACAAATAAAGATTTGACACAAATTACATACATTCACGTGCATACACATACATACATATTTGGGTTGATACAAAGATGCATACTGTTCATGTGATTTATAGGCGTTGAATGTGTCGGGTAAGTAACGTGACAAAAGGCCTTAGAACTGGGTCTCCAGGGAGTTATTTAAGTAATGTATTAATGTAACAAATCTGGCTGCATAAAGCTATTGGGAAAAAATTCCAGTGGAGAGAATCAAATAAATTCATATGTTCTTTAACGACAGTTCATGCATTTGACCAACTCCCAGGTGGGCCAACTATGGAAAGGAAAGTTTGCTCAAGCTCAGTGTCTGATCAGTAGACAGAATATGAACTGCAGACAAGGGACTCTCAGATTTTAGCCAGTTCATGATTCTAAGCAATCTTCTTTCCCCAGACTGAGGGTAATGCTTTAAGTTTGTGATACTGCAAAGAGGGTACTAGTGTCGTATTCCTGTGAGAATAAAGGATGGAGTTACTTAGTGGTGTTTCCCTGCTGCTCATTGCTCTAAGTTTGCCCACTCTCATGTTCCAACCACTCACAACCTAGACTCAGGACATTCTGGATATAGAAGCATAGAATGCTTGGGGTTGGAAGGGACCTTTAAAGATCATCTAGTCAAACTCCCTCTTCCAGAGGTAGGGACATCTTTCACTAAGACCAAGTTGCTCAAAGCCACATCCAACTTGACCTTGAACACTTCCAATGATGTGGCATCCCACAACTTATCTGGGAAACCTGTTCCCGCATCTCATCACCCTCATTGTAAAAAATGTCTTCCTCGTGTCCAACTCAAATCTACCATCTTTCAGTTTAAAACCATTGCCCCTTGTCCTGTCAATACAGGCCCTGGTAATAAGTCTTTCTGCCTCCTTCTTACCAGCCCCCTTTACATAGTTAAAGGCTCACCACAGCCTTCTGCTCTCCAGGCTGAACAACCCCAACTCTCAGCTTTTCTTCACAGGTGGTGCTCCAGCCCTCTGACCATTTCTGTGGCCCTCCTCTGGACTCGCTCCAATAGGTCCATGTCTGTCTTGTGCTGGGGACTGCAGAACTGGATGAAGCACTGCAGGGGGGGGGGTCTCACCAGAGCAGAATAGAGGGAGAGAATCACTTCCCTCGACCCGACCTGCTGTCCTTGCTTCTTCTTATGTAGGCCAGGATATGACTTGCTTTCTGGGCTGTGAGCACACACTGCTGTCTCATGTCCAATATTTTGTTCACCAGTATCCCCAAGTCCAGTATGCCACAGGCCTTCTCTGCAATCCATTCATCCCCCAGCCTATATTGATGCTGGGGATTGCTCTGACCTAGGTGCAGGACCTTGCACTTGACCTTGTTGGACTTCGAAAGGTTCGCATGGGTTCACTCCTCAAGCCTGTCATGGTCCCTCTGGATGCATCCCTTCCCTGTAGTGAATCAACTGCACTATCTCAGCTTGATGTCATCTGCAAACTTGCTGAGGGTGCACTCAATCCCACTGTCCACATCATTGATGAAGATATCAAATAGTACTGGTCCTAGTACAGGCCCCTGAGGGACACCACTCGTTACTGGTTTCCACTTGGACACTGAGCCATTGACTTTAACTCTTTAGATGTGGCCAACCAGCCAATTCCTTATCCATCTCATATCCGTCTCTCATTCCTTAGTCCTTCCATCAAACCCATCTCTCTCCAATTTACCAACAAGGATGTTGTGGAGGACCATATCAAAGGCCTTACAGAAGTCCAGGCAGACAACATCAGTACTCAGTCTTGGAGTCACTTAAGAGTTTAATCCAGTAAAGAGGAAAAGAGAGAAGAATCCCTTCTGCAAGCACGTGGACTACAGTGAAAACAGGCAGGGGGAATACGTCTGCTCACGCAGAAATCCTAGCAGCTAACAAATTTTGGAAGATTTAGGAAATAAAAAACAATAGCATCTGTACTTTTCACCGTGTACTACGTAGAATGTAAGACTAGAAGAAAACAGAAAGCTCACAACATGTGACAGATCCTAAAATTTCTGACACTCTTTTAAGTTTACAATTACATAGTAAACTAAGAAGATGGTCCTTCAGCTAGACATCAACTTTTTATGCTAAATAAAAGGACATCCATTTCAGAAGATAATTTTTTTTTCTTCTATTTTGACTTAATGATGAATAGGAATGATGAATACTAAAGCACAGGAACAGACATTATGCTAAAATTCCTTTTGTTCGGATTTTCCAACTCTTAATAGCTTGGCTAAAGAGTAGAGCGCAGGTAGATCAAGACTGCTTAAAATACAAAGAACTCAGCTATTTTAATTCGAGAAGCTAAAACAAAGATTAACATGTTTTATGCAGAAAGTTTTAGCTGGAATAATTCTTTATGTTACTTTCAGGGGATAAGGAGCAACAGTTTTAAATATAGGAATCACAATATAATTGTTCAACTTCATTAAAATAAAACTGAGTTTTTATCTACAAAAGGAGAATCTCAATATGTATCTTAAAAGTACTTCAGTTACTTATCAATGACAACCGGTTTATACTAATACTAAATACTTTAATACTTTTTACATGAGAAGGTTATAATACATATGATTACTTTGCTTCTATATGCCAGGTGCAATGTACTTTGAACTACAAGTGAATAAAAATCTTCGTTTAGAAATACCTGCTATGTCATCAACAATTTCCGTGTATGTTCTACGAGCTATGTCAAGGAATTCATTGATGTTAGGCTTAACAGCATAGCATTTCTGGGTCCTCATACTCAGACATCCTTTTGTGTACCTTGTATCATCATTAATTACAGTTGTAATCTTTTCAAGTATAATTCCAAATCTGCAATATTAGTTGTATCACTGATTAGCTACATAATACTTTCCAATTTTTATTTGCAATATCATCCCAAAATTAGAGTATTGCACGTAACTGAAGTAAATTATCTACTGTTAAAACCAAACACTAAATTTCATGTCTCTTTTCACTTCAGAATTAAGTATGACGATACCCAAGCTTGACCAAAGATATAATTCAAATCTTTGGGAGATATAAATTATTTCTCAAATATACAGGCAACTGTTGTTTTTTGCATTATTATAGGGACACTATGAAACCACTACTTCTGTCTTCTCAGAATTATTTCTAATGGAGTGCAGTTTATCAGCAATTGCAGTATCATAGCTAACTTTCTGTTTTGCTTTTTTCCCCTGTATTTGTTAGTTGAAAATTAGAATTTTTGACAAAATCACTTTTAGGCAAAATAATTGAGCTATACTTGTAACTACAAATCAGCAAAGATGCAACATCTTTAATCTCACTGATATTCTTAAGAAAAATGAGAGTTTCTAACATCCTAGCTGAAGTGTTATGACAGTACCTTGTATCTTCAAGAGAACTGTAATAAGCCTTTAGCAGTGGTGTGTTACAGCTTCTTAAAGCAGCCTGTTGAAGATTAAAATATGGACATGAACAGTTATTTCTTTTTGTAGCCCTTTTAAAGGACTGAAAGTTCTTAAATTCACAGAGGCTTATTAGCAGTTGCATGAGCAGCTTATGGAATCTGAGCAGGAGTTTTAGTTAAATGTTTGTTATAAAATCAATTATTCAGGTAATGGTAGGAATCCAGTTCTTAAGAGTATTACACTCAAATGCACATTTTCAATTGGCTTCAGAGTTAACAGACTATGTTGGCAGTATTGTGTTCTGCGAGATATAAAGTAAATTTTATTTTGGACTCAATGATCCTTATTGGTCCCTTCCAACTTGAGATATTCTATTCTGTATTCTATGAAATTTAACGAACTGCATTGTATAAAAATGGACAAAACAGTCTGTATTTGATTAAAAAAAAATAAAAGACACAGACAGCTTACTTTTAAAGGCTCCACAAGTTCTAGAGTATGCTTCAGGTAGATTAAATTAGTTATTTTCGATTCAGCAGTTTTAACCTGTTGAAAAATTTTACAAATATTGGAGGCGTTTGTATGCCTGCCTGTTTATGAAAGCACGTAAGAACTAACAGAACTCATACTATTAACTGTAACAGGTTTACACTTTTAATGATAATTGCTACAATACTTTATAAGCTCACTCTGACAACTCTATGTATAACTGCATAAAAAAATGCTTACCTAAATTTTACATTGCCTACTGTGATAGTTTGCCTATCAGTAGCTAATATTTTCATATGCCTGCACAGATAATGATTGACTCTGAGAACACTCTGCTAACCCAAGCCGTGAAAGCTTCTTTCCTCTTACATATATACATAGCTCTATATAAGCTCTACATAGATTGTAGACTCTTTCAAAGCAAATGTATCACAATTAAGAAACATAGCCTTTTCATAAATGCTGTTAAACACAACATAATTCAATTTACTTATCTTTGGATGATATATTTACATCCCATGTAATTTAAAAAAAAAAATCCAATAAATGTTTACAAATTTAACTTGCAATAATGACCTCTATTCAAAATGCTTTGTCTACATACACATTCTACCTTGTTTGTATGCCCCGTTAATATCTATGATAAAGAATTTAGCTGCTGATTTTAGGGCACAGCATAAGCAGTACATATGCACTGTTGTGAGAGGATTTTAAGAAACCAACATAGATAAGCACACAGTTTCATTCTGAAGAAAAGCTAATGTCAGTTCTCAACATGAACATAGGAGTATGATGGTGTGTGAAATCCTTTCTTGTTCGTATATAACAACTCTTTACTGTGCTGGAGGGCATCTCTTGCCTTATCTTACCTTTTATGCAAAGTTTTCTGTAAAAGATAGGACTAAACAATGCCAAATCTATGAACACAAGAATCATAATCTGTAAATAAATGTGGGGTCTAAGTCCCATGATGGAATCAGACATCAAAAGCACAGATATGGTCACACGTGAAGAGCTGGTATTTCGGGATGGAATGTACCATTGCTAAAAGAGTTCTATAGGAACTTTAACCAAACTGGTGTTAAAAGTGGATCTTTCTACATGCTGGACCTGAGGGTCAAAAGGAGAAAATGAATGAATACAATAACAGTTGATAACTCTGCTATATGTTACTTCTTTATGATTCAATAATGACTAAAATACAAGCCTACTCTTTACAGCATCTGAAATTAATTTGTCCAGTCACTCTGTCACCTAAGGCAGGATGATTCAGAAAAGTGGCTGACTTTGTTTATGTGCTAGAGACTTAAGTCCTGTGGATTTCAGGGTTATGTCAGTAGATCAGCCCTAGTTTAACTGTTGTATTTCCTGGAAACTAATTTAAACCAAACATACTGATACCTTCTCTCTGCGAGAGAAGGAATCAATCTGTCACATGCCTGTAACTTCATCAGGCATAGAATCTATTCAATTTGTTCTTCAGCCGGGTGACCAAGTAATCCAGAGCAGGTGGTCCTTACCTCCACCAAAGTTGGATGTTGATTCAACTTCTAAGGATCCTTCACGATTGAAACAAGAGGGTCTTTTAAGGAAATCTGGGGCGGGGCGGGTTGTCCAGATACCTTTAATTTGCTTATATATGCAGATTTCATAAGAGTAAGTTCTTGATTTCACTGATGACCTGATTTTTCAAGTAGCACATCTCAGCTGATTGTCCTCCTTAGGATGAGAGAATGCTCACATTGAACATACCGCTCACACTTCTAGTGACTGAAACTGTAGCCTTTTCAGATTAGCACCTATTCCGTTGACTGGTGGAGCATTTTCCAATGAAAATTTTTATGGAGTGTGGGAGTGGAACATGCTGAATACATTAATCTAGTATTTGATAGAAGCAACTGAGTTAGCACTTGATTTAACTGAAAATAAACTGGGGACAGACTGAAAACACAGCAGATGTACAGATAAAGGCATCCAGGTCTGCCAGTTTTAGTCATACAGCTGATCTTTCATTCATGTTACAGATATCTACAAGGAACACTGGGAACAATAAACATTGAGCTCTCTGGATATGCCATTTAAAGAGATCTGTCTGCATTTATTACAGTCCTGCTGTACGTGAGTCTGTACGTGATTTAACTGCCACTAGACAAGCCACTTATCTAAGCATGTGAGAAGACACTGGGAGGTAAGAGAGATGTAAATATTGATGATGCTGGCATGCCAGCATAAACACAGGCAAGCATAAGCCTCGAAAGCATTGTCAGAAATATCCTACTCAAGTACAATAGGCAAATGTAACTTAAAATGGAATGGTTACAATATGCTTAGCAGAAAAAAGTTGAGATTCAGTTATCACAAGCTCATTGTGGTTAACTGTCATGCCTGGTCTCAACCAAGACCCAGTACATGTACTTATCCTGTTTTGATATTTGTATTGCATGTGTTAACTTGATTGATACAGGAAGCAAGGTCTGATGAAATAAATAATCTTTCTTTGAAACATGTTAATAGTCCCTAGGATGGAACGACCTCTTATACCCCCTTCAGTAATTTCTGTTTACCCACTACTTAAGAACAAGAGCTGACCTCCAGTCTAACAAAGACACACTGGCACACTGAAGGAAGAAAAAAATTGTTAAAAACGTTTCAGTGTGATTTTCAAGGTGAAAGATTCAATCTGTCTCAAGCTCCTAAAAGATTCCAAAGGGGAAATTTGCTATAAATACTGAGGAGGAAAGAGGGGCTCTAAGGAACTTTAATCTGAAGGTATATGCAGTAATTCTGCCAAAGGTGATCTGTGATGGAAGCTTTCTCTGCTGGTCAAGTTCCTCCCTGCATTCTAATATATGCAATGAGGCATAAGGCACTCATACAGACTGAAACCATGGCTGACACTGTCAAGTGGATAAGGGATTAAACACCTACAGAAGCAGATGAAGTACTGCTTGTCTTTCAACTAAACTGCGTTGTTGTAAGCATTTATAGCTTTATTGTATAGTTATGCTTTTGTGAATAAATGCTTTTATCTGCTTTTCATTTTGGTCCACCTTGTAAGATGTGTGATTTAAGGTAACAGATAAGAGCAGGGCACTCCTGTAATCTGTAACACAGGACCCTGGGAAAACTTATGAGCAATCAGTGCAGCAACACATTACTTATTCCTTGCGTTCGATGGTTAACAGAGAAACACGGATCAAGCTGAGAACTGGACACAGAAGGGACTTCCAGACTCTATTCATAACCTAGCTATCTTTCTCTGTGTGCTTGAGATGTAAGGTTCTCTGGCTGTGAGAACAGCCAGTGTCAGGGAACCTTCTGCCCTATCTGGTACTGCTTATGCTGTACAAGTGAGCAGATTGTTTTTCTGTCAGCTCATTGTTGTTCAAAGGAAACAACTCCTGCTTGAAGAAGTTGCACTTGGCTCATACAAAGTCTGTGTCTTAGAAACTAACGGGTAAGTAATTCCCATTTCTGGCTTTGTATGTTTACGCAATTGACTTAGTAATTGAATACAGATTTAAGTTTATCTGTACTATAAGCACAGCTGAGCAAAGTCAGAGTGCTTCTTATGAATCTTTTTCAAAATAATTTTTCAGGCAATAAAGACTCATTTCTATTGATTTGTATTACCTGAAAACTAAGAAATTATTTAGTTTCTAGTAAGAAAGATGCTTTATTTTCTTTAGGCTGTCAGCAATTGTATTAACCTCCAAAAAAATCAGACAGTAAATTCCTGCTACACACTTTTTCCTCTTATGCTGATGTGAAGAAAATTCCTCTCTTATCCTAGTACTGTCGAACAGGATGTACAATTATGAAGAATAAAGGTGTTGAGTGATGAAAAAGTAAGCATTTTTGGAAGTCAGTTTGCATAAATTAAGATTAATGTGATACTGAAGCAAACACAAATTTTTCTAGCATTCTACTGCTGTAAAATAAGGTATACTCTCAATCTACGATAACATTATTCCATGTCTTCTTAAGGTGCAGTCTTTTTCTTATCATGTATATTTACAGATATAACATTTATATATTGCATGTTATAGCCCAGATAACTGATAATCTAAGGTGTATTCAAAACATACCGTATCCTGCTTTGGAATTTGTACCAAAACTGAAAGTAGTTGTTCTGTATCCAGGAATTTTGAGATGACTGTAAAACAAAAGTAAACAGATCAGAAATTGAACAGAAATTGTAATAAAATCCATTTTTTTTAAATGCACACAATAACTTAGTGATCCTTATGTTAATCTTTTTCTTTCATTCTATCTTCACAAATTACCTACTGGGGAAAAAAAAAGCAGGTTAAAAATAGCTGTTATCTAATTTATTTTGTCATAACTATACTGGCTATAGCTAAGCATGTAGTGATTAGTGTACAGGTAGACATATCAATTCAGCAATATTCTGTTAGATTGAATAACATTTCTCTTGTGATAAAGATCAAAGATTACATGATCTAACTTCAGGAGGACTAACTCATGCTCTGGTACTGTATGTTTTTTTTACATTTGTCTGGACCACTATGTTTTATGAAGCAACAGAAAGAAATATGCATACAAAAGTGTTACATCAGTGATGCCTTTATTTGCTTTTGATGTATATATTTTAATTGTATACTACCAACATAATGCATATCTAGCCAGAGACATAAACAGACAAACTCAAATTCTTTGAAAAAGCTATTGGCTCACTGACTTCTATCCACTTTACCAGACAAATTCAGTTTCCTGAGAAAAATACTTGGAAAAAAATATCACTATTGTAATAAAGATTACTTCAGAAAACTAAATGTCCAGTATAAGTGTCACCTTACAAACAATTAAAAAATACTTTTCAAACATATTGAGTCACACTGCACACTTCCATAGATCAGAAGAAATGTGTAAGAGGAAACATAGTACTATGTATTAAAAATAAACTACTACCTGCTTGAAGACCAAAAAAGAGCTCCTCATCCTGGAGTAATTCCTGAACACAGTCCAGTCTTGTGTTAATTGTTTCGGCATCAACTAGAGGCTCCAGGATATTGGATCTAAGTCTTCGACTTCCACCTGGAGTTTTAGTGTAATTCAGGACACCAAAAAGCGTGTGACTATTCCTTTGAAAACAAAATACATGGGAAAAATACCCTCAGAAAAAATGAAGATGGTAAATGTCAAGTGACATTTTCAGGTAAGAGCATCCTACAACTTTCAGGCATGCTTTTGGGATGCTTAGCACCTCCCTATTTGCCATGTTATTATAGGAACTCCAGCAGTTTAAGAAGTCAGGTAATATACTATAATATTAGCCCTCATCGTTTTTAAAAGTATAGGAATACATTTGTACTCGGTATTTTCCTCTTTTCTTGTAGTAGTATTCCATTCCTACTGCAGTGGTGCAGTTCACATTATTCCTCTCGAGCTAATTAAAAACAAACAAACTAATCCTACAAAAGGAGACAAATTGTAATCTGAGATCAAGTATTAATCAGAACATTTCATTAAAATTCATTTCTGAAAATCATTTAAAATACTTAGAAGTCCAAGAGAAGTAAGCTTTGATTTTATTTTTTTTAAAAGAACTGCCTTACAGTCCATACAGGAGCCAAACACCATGCTTATGATTTATAAATATTATTTTCACGTTCATGGCTTTTACATGTCACATATCCCAGGGTCTAACACTTACGGGTTGAACATATCTGTTTAAAATAAACAGCCTATATTTACATCTAGTACACACCTAAACAGTTTTGGAAACACGAAATGTTCAGTGCTATTGTCTAGAAAGGCCAACAAAAAGACTGAGGCCAGATAAACGTACTGATTGAAAACAGAACTTGAATAGGAAGAAATCTGATAAATGTACACAAAACACACAGCATAAAGATAGATAGATAGTACAGAAACTCCTGAAATACCATGCTACAAAAGAACAAAACAATATTAGAGAATTAAAAAAGAGGGAAATTCAAAACCAGTTTTATTAGGGATATATTGACCACTGCCCACCATTAAGCAACTGAGGACTCATTCCCCTATACAGGAAATTAAGACAAGCCCCTCCAGAATTCATACTGGCGCAAGAACTTGATTTAGGTGTTTCTGGTGTGTGCCTGTACTATTCACTTTTACCTGTTAATATTTGATCCAAAGATATCTAACCAGGCTTTCAGGGTAACATCTATGCAATGGAAATAGCTGTGTGTGGCCTGATTCAAACCTGCCACTGGGTCAGTAACAATTCTGCAGCAATAATGCTAAAAAAGAGAATCTTAAAGAGCAGTTTACTGTTGCTCAGTTCCTCCTCTGACCTCCTTCCTCTCAAAACCATCTGTGGAATCAGGAGCAGCTTTCACAGAAACATTGCTCTAAATCTACCAATCCTAGAGTGGCTGGCTCCCACAGCTACACATGAAGGAATGGAACAAACAAGGAGGAACTGGGGACAGAGCAAAATAACTCGGGACAGAGCAGAGAAACTGTAGTTACCTCCCACCTCTGAAGAACAGATCTGTGTACACTGTTATCTCCACAAAAAAAACTGAAAAACATGGGAGAGGGAGGGGGCCAGTGGTGGAAGGGTAAGGATGATGGATGTAGTCAACAATGTCCCTGCCCACCACAGATGGGTTGGAACTAGATGGTCTTTAAAGGTACCCTCCAATCCAAGCCATCCTATGATTCTATGACACTTCTCCAAGCAGGAAGCTCTTACAAGTAATACTTGGAGAGTCAGGAATCTCCAGGCTCCCCTTTCTATGCCAGGGTGGACTTCTAAACACAGGTGGATCCCAGAACATGGCAGGAAGCAAAGTGCAAGTTCTAAGTCTTTCTCTTTCTAACAAGAAGGATAACAGTCTTGAGAAGGTAAGTCTTGCAGCTTCTTCTTCCTGGACAGCAGGTGAAGGAAGTGCTCCAAGTATTGTTCTCATTGTGGAGAACTGCCATGCAATCAAGTACCACATTGCATATGGCCATCATTACAGAAATTACTTTGTTTGCCACTATTCCTTAGAGCTAAAGGAAAACAAAACAACCTTTCAAGCCTGGAGTGTTTATCTTGTGTAAAATGAATAAAACCTAGGCATTTTAATCCAACATAAGCAACTTCTTGTGGAAATGTCACCTCTTTCATTTCACAAACTGCGAAATCTAGAAGTCTGAATAAAATATAGACATCAATGTAAAGACGACTATGTACCATCTCTTCCCGCAACTCACTTGCAGGATTTCCTATGGTAGATATTTTGTGCTGACTTGTAATGCATTTCTCTGTCAAAATATTTTTTTTTCTTAAACTCTGAATGGTATATAAGTTCTGTCATACAGCAATAATTACAATGGTCAGCTCTGACACAAACATCAAGGAAGCTTGGTGAAATACAGCTTTATAGAAGTATGATTTATAAACTTAAATATTCTTACCGAGAATCTCTGTTATTAATCACTAGTTCAAGATTTTGTGCTGATGATGAGTCTATCATAGCTGTTTTCTCACTCCCCTGGAAACGCACCTTGAGTGATTTAGGAGCATAAACTGAATTTTGAATAAATTCAACATATTTTAGCAAAGCTGCAGCAGCTGCAAGACAGTAGTACCTTGGAAAGAAACAATCTTTAATGAATATTGAATGGTGCTACTTAAATACCATAAAACCCAGCAGTGCACTACAGAAATCACATTCACACTCCAGCTTGACGACTACTGAGACTGATAGCACGGAAAAAGCAGAATGTTTTAAGCATGCACTAACCCATGTATAGTGCACATCTACGCATGCAAATCAAACATCCACTAATGTTTGTCTGTACACTCAACACCCCACACTATACAGCTGGTATTGTTAATGTGTGTATTTCACTAGTTACATGTGACTTGAAATGAAGAACCCAGGTCACCAAGTATCACTACTTAGAATTTTTGGTATATGGAAAATATTTGCAGAGGCCAGAAAAAAAGGCAATCATAGCAGTTAAGTTGCATCTTTAAGGAAAGAATGAAAAGGAGAAAGTGGAAAGCTGTGAAAATTAAAAAAGAAAATCTGTAACCGACTTTCTATTTAAGTTTCCAGATATATCAGAAACACTGGAGGGCTAAATGAAAGAACAGCTCTGTTACAGTTTTCTAACTTTTGCAACAAGACATAGACTTGTGTATGTATGTAAAAAGCTGTTAAAAATTTATCTGGACACATTACGCTTTTCCTTATTTAAACATACTTTGATTGAACCTCCATGAAAATGGTGCTGAATTCAGACGCACACAATTGTTCTATGTATTCCAAACCCTTTGTTTCATTGAAGTATTTTCTTTGGACAGTTGTAAAAGTCACATTCTGTGAAGATGGGGAGAAAAGCAAATAGTTAAAAAAGTTAGAGAATTTTCCATCAAGACAGATTTCTCTATTTTTCTAGTGGTATGTGTTCCAATAAAATCTATCACCAGATTCAGCGATCTGTATAAGTATTCATTCTAGCTTATTAGCACAAGCGAGCCATGCTATTGTCACACACGTTTCCTCCTCCTCGGCAGCAAGGACATACTTTGTAGTAGTGCATACTAGTGCTTTGAGCAAATTAACACAGGCTTTTTCTTGGATATTGCTTTTCCTCTCAAGAACGAGCTACTCCAAATTTTGAGTTTAACCTGGATTTTATTAAAATCAATGACTTTTCAGGAAGACTTATTTTCATGGTAGCATTAAATGCTCACATTCAAACTGCAGTTTTCCCTTGCCACAGTTTAAGCCCAAGGGATCATCATTAAGCCTTCAACGGTAAATAGAGAATGAAGATATGCAGTTCACAGTAACTGAATGTGTGCGATGTGTGAGTGATTTATGCAAGAAAAAGAGGAGAGAGGTCAGCAAGTAGAGGAGGACTCAAAGGAGCCATGAGCAGCATAGACATGGAAGCAATTCAGGTAGTAACTAATACAGGTTTTTAAACATTCTGAGGCTTTACTACTCACAAATTACATATACTAGTTCATCTCACCCTCTTTTACTCTGCCAGGGCTCTTCTCCTGTTCTGTGATACATTAGCCCCATCTATTTATCAGGTTGAAAGAAAAAAGAAGGAGCAAAGGAAAATGCTTGATTTTTTTAACCTCAGAATCTTTCCTAGGTTCAGTATTGCTTCAATTAATTTAATGCCACAAATACAAAACTTTCAGGTTTAATCAGTAATATGCTTATCTCTGTAACTGACAGGACTAGAACTAGCAGCGTTGGAGCTGCACTTACATTATTCTTGACCATGGTAAAATTAGGCCTGAAGATCACAGAAAACACAAAATCTGACTGCATTTGAGAAGTTGTGGAAAACTCTCAAATCAACCATCGTATAAAAGTGATCAACAGGAACTGTAAAATTCTTACCCTGAAATGCTCTGTTATAAGACTGAACAATTTTGTTGTGTTCCCTGCATCACAAGCAGTGTTTGACATTATTATTTCTAGTGGTGTCAATATCTTGAGTTTAGTAATAACCTGAAAAAAAATTCAGAGTAATTCAATAAAAATCCATATATAATCTATTTTTACACTATAATGAACCAGCAATAATTACAGAACCCTTATATTTTAAAAACACAGTTCCAGTCTTGCAAGTAAAGAACAAATTTTCTCCTAACTTCTAATGAGACAAATTTATCTTTGTCTATAGACACAGATATATAAATATACATGAAACTAAATTTTAAAAAACAGAGGTATCTATCCCCTGTTATTTAAACATACAAACATGCTTGTCATCAAAGCAAGAGATAACTATCCAAAACTATATTCCATGGCTATGATGGGAGAAGGACTTATTTTCAACAGACGACAGCTTTCTAGGCTTCCAGCTGAGAAGTTAATGGTGCTTGAGAAAATGAAGAAATGCAACAGGTCATTTGGTCGATGAAAAATATTTGCAAGTTCTACTACCATGTATTGACCAATGCTCTTCAAAACAAGGCATCTCGCTCCCACATAGCTCAAACACAATTTTTTTGCAGAAAGGCTATTTTTCTTCTGCAAAACATTCTTTCCTCTTTATCTAAAATCTGAGGCACAGTGAAGAAAACAGCAGTCTTTTCAACATTGTGCATTTTCTAGAACTTGTTATTTTCACTTTTGAGAAATTTCTTCTACAAACCAGAAGTTTAACTTCCCATTAGTCATAAGCTTTTTTAAGAAAGAAAGTCACAATAATTAGCTTTTCAGGGACACAGAAATTAGGTATGCAACAATACCTTGGCATAAGTTGTATTGTCTGCAAACTGTGATAACATCACCTCAGGATTTTTTAAGTCAATACTGGCCATTCCTACTTCACCTCTGGCAAGGCCTCTTCCTTCCACTACAGCTACAATAACCGACGCAGCAGCATGAGCAGAGGCTGCAGATGAGGATGTAACTGTAAAACAGTTCCATATATTCAGTTACACGCCACTACTTTACATTCACAGAAACATACTTTGACATTATTTGTGTTTACATTCCCATATCCATGGAGAGCCCTTTCCATTTATTAAACTTAGTTAAAAATTAAAATCCTGGTTGTTGAGCTCCTTACTTGCCACGCCTGACAGACAAGGCACACTTTCCAAAGTATGAATATCATACTCTTACACTAAAAGACAGACTGAACACATTCATTTAAGATTGTCAGAACTAATCACATTTCTGTAGCAACTTAATATACAGTTTCTGAGTCACCATCTCTGTACTAAACAACATGTCAAAGGGCATGGCTATTATTAAACATTTGCCATTTTAAATTCAAAACAATGCACAGCTGTTACCGCTAGTTAAAATCAGGTGCATTAATTGCAAAGAGATACTGTAATATTCCACTAAAAGTACAATTCTGATCGAGGTAGCTTAGATCTCGTCAAATTACGGGAAACAAATGTCTTATATATAAATATTTCACCTAATTTTAGGATAAACTTATTAAACTACACTAAAATATATATATCTACAGCACGCCTGAGACCTAATAATTTGATTTTAATTTTTAGTGATTTAAAAAAAAAAAAAAAAAAACCAAACATTTTTCTTGTCTTAAAATTGGTTTGGCTTAAATTTTGCAAAATATCATCACAAACTCAACTAATCTCATCTCCTTCTTGAAGTATCCAGCTGTCTCTCCGAAACACCCCTTACAAAGATTAAGTGTGATTCCCAATTCCCAGAGTAGTCACAAAGAAAACCTTGGATCACAACAGCTGTAAGAAGTCACAAACTTCACGTTACTTACATTTTGCAAAACAATAATTCAATTCAGTAGCAAATGGAGATTGGACAATTTGAAAAATGTCTGAATTCTAACTATATTGGTAATTCATACGGAAATGCAAAGCAAGTGACAAGAGGCTGGCAATACGAAAACATCTACTCAGTACCTAAAGTAGTATTTTCCCTTATGGGTGCATCTGTCATTGGCAGGCATCCCCTATAGTGCAAAACACATCATGTTTTGGGGTTTGAATATATTTCAGTATCTTACTGTATCACATTAAAGTATGTTTAAAGTAATAATGTTAGTTGGAAATGTAAGTAGGACTATTTCCTTTAAGAGCTGCTAACCTTACCTGAATATCCCATAAGAGGGGTGTGGCTTCTGCCAGCAGATCTGCTAGAAGAGCGGGGTGTTTTTCCTAGACACGCGCTATTCAAGCCTCGCACAGGAGAGGAACTCGCGAGATTCAGTGCACTAGTGTTTTCTACACAAGAACTTTTGTCCCCAAAATATGATTCTGAGGAGGGGGAAAAATAAATTAACTTTTGAAAACAGACACATTAAATTGTATATAATTTAACTGAAAAAAAATTAATCTGTTTTTATTCAGAAAGCAATATATAAACATACAGCTTAGAAAACTTTATTTTTCTTACTAGAAGTAGAGATATCCAAGCAATACCCTTTAATGTAATTCTATAAAAAGCTCTCCAAAGTAGTACAAGTATAAAACGAAATTAAAATCAGTTTGCTTTGAAAACAAGCTTGTATCAATATGGTAATTTTCCACAATGACACTACTTGCAGCACCAATAAAAATCTTTGTTTACATTGTTGGACTGAAATAATACAACAGAAGTCACTTTACAATGCATAATTTCACATTCCAATGAATTCTAGATTTATGAAAGAATGCTGTAAAGTCAGCTCTATCTCACAATTGCCCATCAGTTTTAAAATCCGTATCTGAAACTGCATGTGTTTATGAAAACTGTATTTTTTTAAGCTGAGCATTCTTTTTAGAAGAAGGACAATAAAGGGAAACAAAGAACCATGCTGAAAAACTCCTCTGCTTGAGAACATTCTCCCTCTGAATTTATGGAGTTCAACTCTCAGAAATTATACAATAATCTGGAAATTTTTGTTATCTGCAGTTTCTTTTACATGCATATCTTAAGATTTATCTACATTTTTAAGTCCTGCAAAATCTCTTCTTCTAAGATCATTCTTTAGTTTCAATAATTTAAACTATTTTACTGATTTTCAGTTCTCTTGAGGTGACTAAAAGCACCACCACATCCTTAATCTATCTTGGATAAGAGCTTTTTACAATAAAAAATGAATGAAAATATAAAGAGGTTTTTCACTTAAAAGTTACAAACTTACAGATATTCCTTCAATTACATTACATTCAATTTAATTGTAAAATTGATCTACAAAATACTTCAGTATTGTTCTCAAGATGACCCATTAACTGCATGACATCTTCTAATGGTTGGTACAAAAATATTTACAGTACTAGGGATTTTCTGGGGGTTTTGTTTGTTTTTAAATCTTAAAAAACTGTGACCGTGACAACTGAAATAAATTATTAGTTCAGGCTGTAATTTTTTTTAAAGAGTGGACAAGTCAGCATTACAATGCATATAGATGATTTTTTAAAATAGCATTTGCTTAGATTTTTGCATCAGTTCACTCAGAAGTTTGGCAGAAGAGACTTTGCTGTTGTCTTAGAATGTACTGGATCTGGCATAACGGGAAAAAAATAATTCTAAAGACCACACGAACCAAACCCTCTACACATATTTCTTCAAGCCAACATTTAAAAAAAAGTTACGCCCTTCCCAAATCGGAATTCTAAGGGTTTTTTGTTTGTTGTTTGGGGTTTTTTAGGATTAATGACTGATCACGTACACCACCCAAAACCAGGTTACCTTCTTCCCAGCCTACGTGTAATGAAGATGTATATACTTCAGCACGCATTAACAGAATTTACAATTCTTTATATAGTTTTTCCACTGGAAAAAATACAATTTGAACCACTTTTTCTGCCTGGCAAGATGCAGGCTTTGACAGCAAAATCCAGCGTTAGGAAGGGGTTGATGTGCACGCGTTCAGTGCGCAGGGGCTGTGGAGGGGTCTCGGCCTCGGAGCGGGGGGGGGGCCGGGAGACTGATGCCAACAGCAGCTCGAGGCAAAGCACGGCAAACAGCAGCGCTGCACTGTAGGACCACAACGTTCCTACACCGCATCGAGGATAACAGCATGTAAAAGTACTTCAAAGGCCAGGCCAAAAAAACCCCAACCAACCAAACCAAACCCAAACAAACACAGAAGCAAAACCCATGACCAACTGCACGTGGTTCAGGTCTCTAGGAAAGCAAATGCCGGCAGCAATTCACACCAGCGTACCGACCCCCATAAAATAATAAAGGTTTATGTAAAGAAGCACAAGGAACGAGTACCATCGTTCTGACGGGGTGAATGCAAAAGAGGTCACCGA